AGGCCTTCCAATACTATGTTGAATAAGAGTGGTAAGAAAGAGCATTCTTATCTTGTTCTTGATCTTGGGAGGTTAAACATTTGCTTAGTCTTTCACCATAAGGGATGACATTAATGGTAGTTATTTGCAGATGCTTTTTTTCTTCAAAGATTTATTTATGTATTCATACAGAACTGGGTCACAAACCAGAGACAGAGTGGGAAGCAGAACAGGCAGATTGATGAAGTACATGCTGAGGGGAGCAGCAGGCTGGACAGGAGAGGTCTGCCGCGCCATGTGGGTCACCCCCCTGGCCGAGGATCAAACCTACACTGAAGCGGCTGCAGCCAGCTTGCAGTGCTGCGTACCAACCTGTGGCACCACCAAGGAGGGCCCTGTAAATGCTTTTTACAAAACTGAGGAGGCTATCCTTGCTTCCTAGTTTTCCAAGAGTTTTTAAGATGAATGGGTATTGGAATATTGTTTATAAAAGAATTCAAATGCTGGAACCCTTTGATATGGCTGTTTTGTCTCCTGCTAATGCAGTGGTGGCCTTAGCCATGGGACACTGAATATAATCCTGTCACATACTTCTTCTATTGCCTTCACCTACTTCCTGGTTTTCTTCTGAAGTTGATATCAAGAGATTCTTAAATATTGTTTAAGAAAATATTGTACCTTCTCTCTAGTTAAGTGACATCATACTTTGAACAGAATAAAGATTTAGGTGTAACCAAACTGATTATGAAATAATGATAAGGCCAATATTGAAATTATTTTTTGATAAATGGACTGTAGAGGCATTAAATGGATTGTACAGTTTCAGCTACATTATTAATCAAACCGGCTTAGCACTGGAGATAGACTATCCTCCAGGGTCCAGTACCTGCTCCAGTCATGGTAGGTAGAATCTGGTTGCAGACAACCTGCTTCAGAAACTGGGTGAGTCTATCTGCTCTGGAGACATTCCATCTCCAGACTGAGTCCAGTCTGGGAGATAGCCAGAAGTCTAATAAGATATGTGTTCAGGAGCCCCTCCAATTTAGTCTAGATATGGGACAGATTATATTTCTTTTTTAAAAAGATGTATTTATGTATGCATACAAGAACTGGGGTATAGGCCAGGGGTGAGAGGATTCACCAGAGATAGCAAGGATCAGAACAGGTAGATTGACAGAAATTCACTGCTGAGGGGAGCAGCAGGCGAGACAGGAGAGATCTGCTGTACCATGGGGGTCACTTCCCTGGCTGGAGATTGCTTCATAGTGCTCCACTTTAACTTGTTTCACTACCAGGGAGAATTCCTGGACAGATTATATTTCTACAGCTTTCTTGACCCAAGACCATTCCTGGGTCAGGAGGAGGCTGCCCATCCCCACTATTGCCCCCCAAATCTTTACCTTCCCTGAATTGCTCTGTGCCGCCCTTTGAGTCTTCTGTTGAAGCTCCTCTCCAGGCTGAGATAGAGAAGTCTATAAACCTTATTCAATTGCTTCTCCTAGGATGTGGATATTACTGTGGGTCACCATCTCCAAGGGTCTCTCTACCTCTCCTCTTAGTCTTTGGAAGAAACTCCTGTCCAATGTCAGCAATTTTATTTCTTGGTAAATATAAATCATAATTTAGAAGCAATTGATGAAGATCATAAAAGAAAGGATTTGGAGTAGAGGATGTTAGTTGGTCAATGGTGAAGCAATGAAGAGCTGTGCTTTGATGACTTTGAAATTAAGTAAAAAGACTGAGCTTGAGAACTCCCTAACTCCCTTTTTTAAAATTCTGCATTTAGGGGCCCTCCCTGGTGGCGCAGTGGGTTAAAGCACAGCACTGAGAATCTAAAGCCGCTTCTGCATGAGTTCGATTCCCGCCTACCCCAGAGGTGACCACATGGCGTAGCAGACCTCTCCTGAGCCGCCCGCTGCTCCCCTCAGCAGTGTACTTCGTCGATCTGCCTGTTCTGTTCCCCACTCTGTCTCTGGTGAAGCCTCTCGCCACCCCTGAGCCTCTGGCCTGTACCCCAGTTCTGTATGCACAAATAAATAAATCTTTAAAAAAAAAATTCTGCATTTAACATGCATTTTTCAGTTCTTTAAGTCCTTAAGTTCCTGGAATTATGGCTGTTCTCATCTTTACATTTTTTTCCTCCTTTTGGCTAAATGAATAATGTAGCCATTTTCTCTTCTTTATGTGTTCCTCATTTTTAAAAACTAATGTAAGCATAATGCCCCAAGTTTAACTTTGAGAGCGTCACAACTGTGTGGCAAACTTATTAGCATCTGTCACTGAGAAAAGAATTGAATATTGCTTCACAATTCACTGTCTTATCAAACCACAGGAGAATTTTAAAGGCATACTAAGTTATGCATACTAAGTTATTTGTTTCTTTCCAGACAAAAGCGCTAATGGACAAGCTTCAGAAGACTGTTTCATCTGAAGGAAGATTTAAAAACCTCAGAGAAACCCTTAAAAAGTATGTCTATCTTAATTATTAGATTACTCTTGAATCAGAAATTGATTTAAATAATTTCAATAGAAGCCTATTTCCTTTTCATTAGAAAGAAAAACAAATGGGAAATGGCTTCATCACCTAGGTCTTCTGAATTCCCTTTTCAGTTGGAATACTGTGCATGTGGCATCTCATGACATGCCCATGCAGAGTATTCAATATAAGAAACTATCAGCACAATTAATCAACTCTTTATTATAAAAAGTTTCTTGATTTCATACTTCCTAATCTATGTTTGATTATTTTCTGTATTTTTTTATTTGAATATACTAATATCAATTGACAATTGTTATCTACTTGGGAATTTTATTATTTTTATTGGATCATTCTCTCTCTCTCTCTCTCCATGCTCTCCTACTTTACAATCTACCAGATGGACTTGACTTCTACTCTGAAAAACTCTAATCCTTTAATGCTACGAGTGAAAAATGCATAGTAATGATAACCATAGCAATAACAACAATATTTTATAAGAACTGTGCACTGTAGTTACACTAAGTGACAAGCATCATACTGAGTGCTTGATGTGTCTTATTTAAATATCAGAACAGTCTAATGTAGTAGATATTACCTCCATTCTAAGAGGAAGAAATTGCAATTGAGAGCTCCCCAGCATCACTTAGTATGTGGTTCAGGGGCCACTCAAACCCAGTTCTCTCTGGATCAAAAGCCCACGTTCCCCAGTCCAGACTCTGAGAAGACCAGGTGTGTTGCCTCTCCTCCAAAGCACACACACATGAGAAAGCACCACAGGTCTCACTTCTGTGTGTGTGTGTGAGTTTACAGCCTCTAGAGCATTCTATGCTAAAATAACATTTACAAACTCTAATTGTATTGATTTCCCACCCAGTTCTTTAAGGTTGAGCATTTACACTTTAATGAGGTGAAGACATAGGGGTTTCTGTGTACATGTTTTTATCCTTCAGAGAATTGTGGCCTATTTACAAATTGTGCAGAACAAGTATTGCTAGCAAATATTTTGGTTTTATCTATAAGACATCTGTTGTTTGAAAATGCCATTGTCTCAAACACATACTAAAGCATGGGCTATAATTTTGTATTATATTCTTTTGTGAGAGGCATTTAAGACCGCTTATCATGAGTGTGCTTCTGAAAATGGAATTAAAATACCTTAGGATGGAAGCAGTATAGTTTCTTCCTGTTTTAACTGGGGGGTGGGAAGGAAGTCAACATTTGTGTGAATGAATATGAAAACAGTGCTTCTTGGTATTGCAGCTGTAACCCCCCAGCTGTTCCTTATCTGGGCATGTACCTGACAGACTTGGCATTTATTGAAGAAGGAACACCTAACTTTACGGAGGAAGGCCTTGTCAATTTCTCCAAGATGAGAATGGTAGGTCATAACTTCATCATCACCCATTGTGAATGACATCAGAGGCTTATAAAGGAGGGACTATCGTGAAACTCCTTTTTAGTCTTGAGATGGAAGAATCGGTGGACACTCATACTAATAGCTGATGTGAGGAGATTGCAGAGATTATTGCAGTGCCATTTCAGCTTGCAGTTTGGGCAATATGGACTTGGGGAATCAATCCTCTGGGATGACATTTTAAGACTGATAATAACAGACAGAGGCTATAGTCTTCCTGCTGGGTAACTGGGCTCTCAGCATTAGGTTAGCAAAAGACCATCTACAATAACATCCAGAACTTGCCACTCCCAAACCTGAGGCCACCCACTGCCAATTGTCCCTAGATTGTGCGTTCAGTAGCTTTTTGCTGCTAGCATTTCACTCGTTCAATGATGGGCAAGAAAGCCCTGAGCATAGAGAATGAACTGTCAGTGCCCCACACCCTCACTACCTACTTACTTGCCCATTCTAGGATGGGCTTCCCAGAATAACAAGCTGAAGGACAGAAAAAATACTTTTGTTTTTGTTTCTCTATTAGATATCACACATCATCAGAGAGATACGCCAGTTCCAACAGACTTCCTATCGAATAGACCATCAGCCAAAGGTAATATTGATTGTGAGGTTATAAGGATATTAATAAAGAAAAAAGTGGAAATTAATGAATAAGAAACAGTAGTAGTGTGGATCAATAATACCAAATACTGACTCACATCAAAGACCAATAAAACAGACAAATCTTTGGCAACTCTAATTGAGAAAGGAAATGAAAAGAACATCAATTACTCATAAAGTTCTGTTGCTTTTATATCATATATTTCTCATGAACTTGTTGATACACCATCAACTCTTCTAGTCCAAGCTATATAGTCTACTTGCATTCACTCTAGAATCCAAAATGCACTGCACAAATCACAGGCAGAGAGATACCTCTGAAACACAAAGCAAAGTATGTCTCCCCTTTGCATAGTAACTTGTTAGCTTCCTGTTACTCCTGGGATAAGGAAAAATACATTTTTTTAATATAGAAAGGGCAGGTTTATATTTAAGGAGGGGAGGGGAAAAAAAGAGGACATTTACATAGATTTAACTGAGCAGAAAGATCTGACCCCGAAAGGGACATGTTTGCTCAAAATGGGGTCTGTATAGTCACAGGCAGGCAGCCTTGGGAGGAAAGCCGTCCCTACTGCAAAATTAAAATACTCTTGATGTATTCAGAAGGCTTATATTATGTGGCCTCATGTTTTCTCTCAAAATTCATCTATGTCATAGATCCCCTTCCATTCTCCAGTCTAACTGGGCTTTTTTAAGATTTTTTTTTTTTTTTTGCTTTACAAAAAATTGAGATGGTAGTACAGAAGAATCCCATAGTCATGTTGCCTATTATCGACATCTTACATTAGGATGATGTCTTTGTTACTAGTAATAAACAAATATTCATGCATTATAGTTAACTAAAGGTCAAAGCTTATTTATTGTTCCTTACTTTTCAGCTAAGGTCCTTTCCATGTTCCAGGATTGCATTTAGGATACCACATGAGATTAATTTTAAGGCTCCTGTTGACTGTGACAATACTTTGAATTTTCCTTATTTTTGATAACTTTGAAAGTTTGAGGTATACTGATCAGGTATTTTGTAGGATCACTTACTGTTGGTGTTTGTTGATTTTCTAACGATTATATTATGTTTGGGAGGAAGATCACAAATAAACCATTCTCTCATAATAAGGTGCATTCTATCACCAGAGTTTGTGACTGTGAATGTGACTGCTGATTTAACCTGGATCACCTGGCTGAGGTGGTGTTTGTCACCTTCTCCATTGTAAGATTACTCTGATTTCCTCCCTTACCGTACTGTACTCTTTGCAAAGAAGTTAACATATGCAGTCCAGACTACGGAGTGAGGATTTATGTTCCCCACTCCTTGAGGGAAAAATGTTTATGAGTTATTTGAAATTCTTCTGTTTAAGAGATTTTTTTCCTATGTAAGCATTTAGGTCAGTATAGACTCTTGGATATTTATTTTATGCTTTGATCTTAACCCAAAAATATTTTGTTGCTGAAATTGTAACATGAGGACCACTGGGTACTTTTTCAATTGATTGTTTTGATAAACCTATCAATATAGAATTTTTCCTTCCTTCCTTTTTCCCCTCCCTCCCTCTGTTTTTCTATTTTTCTTTTCTTCCTCCCCTCTCTTCCACCTTCATCTTTCCTTATTTTCAGCCATTATAACATGCTCTGGACTCATCTTGTATGTTTTCTGACTCCATTTATATGAATTTCTGAAGTAGACAAAAGCAGAAATCAGAAAAGTGATTGTTCCTAGAAGCAGATTGCCTGAGAGGGAACTTCTGGATAAAAAAAGTTGCTCAATAGGGTGACGTATATGCAAGTTTGCCAAAACTCCTCAAACTATTCATTTGTTAATGAATAAAAAAGTTGACAAAGTGTTGACTTATGGCAAGTTCCACTCAGAATATATAAAAGCTGATGTTCTGAAAGAACTAAAAGCTAGGGTTTCCCTCTTCCTCCAGGTCACTCAGTACTTACTTGACAAAGCCCTCATCATAGATGAAGAGACGCTGTACGAGCTGTCGCTAAAAATTGAACCCCGGCTCCCTGCTTGAAGATCTGACTTTGCCCCTGAGCCCATGGAGTTCCATGGAAAGCAGGATGGACAGTACTGTGCATGTCATGCCAACCGTGGTGCCGCGAGGATGGAGGGCGATGAATCCAGTCTCCCTCACCCACCAAAGAGCACAGAATGGAACTTGAATTCTGTCTCCAGCCAGGGAAGCCCAGCTGTTGGGGCATCAAAAAACAGAGGCTTCAGATTTGTGTTGGAAGGTGAAAAGATCCATATTCAATCAAACAGATGGCACATTTGCCTAAGGGAATGTAAGATGGGAGATGCCAGTGAGCATTTTAATGAAGCAGATAAGAAGGTATATCTCAAATGCTGTCCCACGTTCTGTTAGAACTTAGCGGCAAAGAATACATGGACAAGACCTTCAGTGTTCCTTTGGCACTTTACTGGCCTGGGTACACCTACCACTCATCTGGGATTGAACTGCTTCCGTTACATTCCTTCCTGACAAGCTTCACAGAAAATCCGAGGCTTCTTTCATAGGGAGAGGCTGGCACATAAGCGATTTCAGTCTACAGCATGCGCATGGTCTTCAGTGCATTATATGTATTTATATTGGAGGAATGGCATGTTCTGAAGCTGCTTTCTTATTGTTTAGATGACAGGACAGAATAGAAATGATGCAAATAAACTTGTATGAAACATTTCCTTAATTAAAAACTCAGTCAACTGTGCCCCCAAAGGATTTCAACCAGTGGCTGCTTGCGGTAGGTGGGGTGGAGGCTTCTTCCTGAGGCTCATGGTACGCCAGAAGCCAGCACCCTTGGAGAGGCAGGAGCAGTGTTTTCGAAAAGGTGCCTGTACACCTCACCGACAAAACTGTGGAACAAGACAGAAAGTCACAAAGTGCTGTTGAGAAGAGTGGGTTTCAGAGCTTATAAAAAATGATTTGAGGTATTTCTGAGTGAAAATCTTGGAAGCATATAAAAAAAATGGGCCCAACCACTCAATAGCTCTTACATCACAAAACCAAATGCAGGGCTTAGTCCCGATACCTTGGGTTGGGGAAGTGACAGGGCTTTCTCCAAGGCAGTCAGTTGTTGGAAAAATAGGGCTAGCTCATGTTTACCTCCCTTCTTATCTTCTCAGGGAGACCTCTGCTTGAAAAGAAGGAAGAGAACATATAGTTATTGTTACCCCAACCTATTGCACCTGACATTTTCTCTTACAGGCATGAAATGTATTGATGCTGACAATGAAAAAAAAATGACTTGCCTGTTTTCCCTTTCTTTGCACTTTAATAATGTTGTTTTAAACTAACGGCTGACTAATGACTTCAACTTGCTGGTGCATAAGACCCAGTGGGAGCACTGGCCTTGATAATGTACCTAGAGGCGGAGAATGTAAATTTTCCTTGCTTGGTAAGGGCCATCTCTGTACATAATTACATAGTGAAATATCAAGCTAGTAAAAGAAGATATTTGTCATATTTGAAGGCCAATCAAACATATTTTCAATAGTTCATGTTAGCCAACAGTGTAGCACAAAGCCCCAAGAGGGTTACTGATGGAGGCTTAGTTTCTTTCTTTCTTTTTTTTAAAGTTGCTTGTTCTCTTTAGTTTCACACAAGAGGCTGATGCATCTTAACGCATGATATGAAGCATGGGTTGCTTGGATCTTAACCATGCATAACTTGTAATTTATTTCTCAGTGTTCAGAAACTGAGGGTTTGTACTGATACATGTCAACTGCAACTAGCACCTCAAGGTCTTTCAGACGAAAAGGAAAAGTTAACTTTCTCGCCTCCAAAACATAATCTTGGAAGGTGAATCAAAAACATTACAAATTTAGTGAAAAGGCCACACACATAATAGTTTCAGGCAAAGCAACATTTGGAAAGCTCAATCCATTCAACTCTGCTTTGGAGTCTCCGGTCTTCCAGAAAGAGAGGGTGGGTCTGAATGTACCTTCCCTGGAAGCCTGGATGCTTAGTTTTGACCCAAATGCATCGGTCATTTTTAGTAAAGAAAAATAGGAGATAAGGGAATTTACAAATAGCCTTTCTCTTTCAAAGGGCAGGTTTTCCTCAACTGGTGAAAAGCTTTCACACCTTTTTTCTGCAGAATGTTGGAAGTGCCCTCCAGTGGTCAGCTATGGCACTGTCAGTTGCTATGTTTATTTGTGTTTCACGGTTCCATGTCCTTCTTCTCAGAGTCTGAAGCTTAGCAGGAGCTGCAAGAAAAGAACTCTGCCTACAAAGGAGTTCCTTTTGGATGCCTGTGTCTTTTCTGGGACAACTGAGATAGGAATACATGTTTATTATATATATAAAAAAAACTCAATTTAGTCACATTTAAAATCCCCAAAGCATTTTTGTGGTGTCTCTTGTGATTGTGGGAGCACCTGTCCTCTTCTGCCTTGCATATTTTGTGTATATTGTTGGGATGTGCACACCCAGCTGCATCTGCCCATCTTCCGTTATTTGAGACACATTTATAAGAGTCAATGGAAGATTAGCCTCTAACAGCCCAAGTAGCACATACATTACTGCAAAATCAACCTAGAAAATCAGAAGTAAAATCCAATTTCATGCTTTCAGGTGAATACCCACATTTTATATTGTCGATAAAATTATTTGGGGATTTTTAGGAGGTACCTCTGGTTATGAACAAAGGCAACCTATCTTGCTATGAGACAAATTTCTTAAGTCATATGTTATATGACAGATTCAGGCATGAAGTAGAATATTGTCACTTTCAATTAGTGTTTAAATAAATTTAAAGGGGAATTTTTAAACTACTGTTGTAATATTTTCAAGTGACTCTCACAAAAGTCTCCACTACTGTTTGTTAAATTTCAGTTATCTTGAAGTACTACTTAAAAACAAGTGCAAGTTATGGATACTGAAACTTAGAATAGAAAATCCATTATGTTTCAGTTTGAAGACAGTGTGATGCTAGACTCATGCAATGTTACACAGGACAAGATTTTGGCTGGCAATGATTGAGCTGCTTTAAGATTCTTAACTATAAAGAATAAAAGCGATGGATTATTTTCAGTAAGATTGAATTTTATTTTAAAACAAAGAATTTTATTTAACTTTGTTTTTCAAATTTTTATTTTATTATCCCTGAAAAAAATCTTTCCCATTGCTTTCAAGTGTAAGAATTTTTAAATTCAAACCTGTAAAATTTATCACTTTTACTACTATTAAAATGGAACAAAAGATACCATCTTATTTATAGCTAAAGAATAGAGCTATGTCCACTGTCAAATGAGTAAATAAGTAAGAGTCGTTGTTATTTCAGCAAGACAATAGATTATAAGTTTAAATAATGACTTGATTATAGTTGCCACTATGTGAACGTTGGTAGTAAGATTTTATTGAGTCAATGAAATGTAATCAGAATCATTTCTCTGTGTCTATTAGATGAGGCAGAGTTTAAAGTAGGAAACAACTCCTTTACTGGAGGTATAAAAAAATGGGTGAATTCAGAAAATTATTCAATCTTGGCTGTCCTACAGCATGATATTACCATTAGGGTTGCTTGTACTTGATCTCACCTGCTCAAGAAAAATAATAGTTCTACTTAATGATGTTGCACCATTACCTTTTACACACTCATTTCATATTTCCCAGAAGGCAGTTATGAAAAAGGACTGAAGTAGCCCTCCTGCTTTGCAACCTGGAATCAGATCGACAGCTACAAGCTGGGAAAGGTTAATCAGCCAGTGCTAACGCCGCTCTAAACCTTATTTTCCTCTTCTGCAAAATGGAGTTAATCGTAATTCCTGTGCTCCCCATCTCACAGGGCTGTCAAGAGGACTAGATGTGAGCCATAAAGTGTTATCCAACTGTGAGGAAACATGATTACCAACTTCATCTTTCTTTTGCAGAGGATTTAAATGTAGTTCTTTGTTATTTGTGTGTGTGTGATCAGCAAACTCTGTTTACTCTGAGAAATACATTGTGTGCAGTTACTTTGTCAATCTAACATTTGGGTCTCTAAGAGGAGTTTGTGCTATGGCCTAATACTTGCTGGATGAGGTGTGGGTTATGCCTATATGCAAATTAAACATTGCCTTTCTTAAATCTCAGACATTTCATTGGCCTCTTCAGTTAATTCTTTTTGAATTTTTCTACACTGTCTTCTTCTTAGCAATGGGCTTATTCAGATTTTTTTTAAATATATATTTCTAGGAGTTCAGGGGCTATGAAGTTTAGAAGAAATCATGTTGCAGGTACTTAAATAGCATAGAATCTAGAGGAACTCAGAAAAAAGATATTAAGGATTATCTATTTCTGCTTGTTCCTGTGCTCAAATCTCCTATGACATCCTCAGCTTATGTTTGATTACCTCCAGGCATAGAGAACTCTCTATTACTCACAGAGTTCTGTTCATGTAATAGTAGTCAAAGCATGTGAACAGGCTATAGAGAGAGGAAAAAACATTAAAGGGGACAGCAAGTCCAGCCAGCACTAACTCTGACCTTGGGTGGTCTGTGGAGTAATCTGAGATGAAGATTTTCATCTATAAAATAAAGCTTATATCTGCCCCTAGAATTGACTACAAGGAATCATGTTTCTGAAAATACTTTTTTTAAGTAGATGAAGTTGTTTTAACATTTTGAGCTGAAGAAATCACAGTGCTGCTTCTAGCTGTTAGCGCAGGAGAGGACTGAGGAAAGGAAGAAAGTGGGTCCATCCTATTCCAGGGGCTTCCTTTTCCAATTGAGCAGTCAGGCTGATGGGATTCTCAGGAATTCAGATTCCTTTTCTCTTATTACTTGTGCATCTCATGAGGGATTACCCTTTCCTGCTGGTCATATCTGGTCCCTACATACTCAGGCTCCAGCTGGATTCAGGAGTGGAAAAGAGATTAAGGTAAGTCCAAGACAAGAGATTTTTTTTTTTTTTTATGATCAACAAGTGATGTGGCAGTTATGTTCCTGGCCCTATGGCAAGAACCAGTCTGCAGTCACTAGCCAGCAGGTATGGGTGGAGTACCCAGACTTTGAAGGGTTTTAGGGTACTGAAAAGAGAATAAATAGCATAGGGCAGGGATGGAATCTGAAAGTCTTTCAGAAAGTTGTCATTTCTGCTGTCAGTCATTTGCAGAGTTTCCCACTCCTATCATACCGCCTTTATAATACCCTTGAAGATGACCAAGCCCCAAAAGAATAGTGGGATAACCTTTTCACAGCAATGTCCTAACTTTTCAGCTTTTCTGACCTTCACTCATGTAAAAGATGAAGGTTAAGGTAAGTTTGTGACGGTTTGTGATGTGCACTTCGGGGAAGGAGCTAAATATCCATTAGTAAGGAATTGGGGAAAAAGAAAATGAAAAGTTTGTAACTGCTATGCTTTAGTCTGCATTTCTATGCTGGGGAAAACCTTACAGTTTTATGGGTCTAGAATCTGGACTATTTCAGGGTCACTGGATTTATTTCACTGTGTCTGAACTGACATGTAACTGTGAACAAAAGAGCTATTTTGGAAGAAATAAGCCTAGACTCCTCCCAACCCGCATCTGCAGAGCCATTGACTGAGCACCTGTCAGCCCACATACCCCAATTCACTGCCTGTTCCACCCCAAGGCATTCCCCCAGGGGCTGAAGAGACAATGGTCTGTCTTGGTAGAACATGCAAATTGGGACTCCTTACAGAATCATGCAGGCAGTTCAGTTGGTCCAATCTATAATTTGATGAAGTAAAAGAAAAAGCTAGAAAATACCTAAGTACATCACATGTCAAAAGGATATCATTTTGTAAAAATTCCAATTCAGTAGCAGCTAGGCCATAATAAAGGCATATATATTAACTGAAGTATGATCAATATGCAGTCAAATGCTTGAATCATGAGTATACAATTTGAAGAATCTCTACGTATCTGTGCACCCATATAATCATCCCCAAGTCAGAAAACTTTCCAGCCCCTAGCAGGCTGGGGTACTCTCCTAGATCCCATGCAAAGGGAAAATATTTTGCTTTGGGTTGTGATCTAAAAACTAGGATACTCTGAAAGAGAATTACTTTAGCTGGGAAGTTATTCTTGACCTCCACTCCTGTCCTCCCTCCAACCCCCATCATACCTTCTGAGAAGGAAGGCTGGGCCCTGACAAGGAAGGAAAAGGAATGGGCTGGTGGTGTGCTTCTAGCCATAGAAGCAGGATACGTGACTATCACCAGAGGCCTCTGCAGCACCCTCTGTGATGACAGGGCTGCTGTCCAAAGTCTTGGTGGGTCATTGCTATTTACAGCCAACCTTTCCGGTTTGCGGTGGATGTCCCAAGGAGGGCTATTTTAAGCTGTGACATGGCCTGCCAGGCCTTTTGGGTGGTATATTAAACTGGTGTGGAATAGGTGAGTTTGTCTAGCTACTACCGATGGCCTGATCTAGAAGAAAAATGTGACTGATACTTTCTACCAGTGCCTGGCTCAGAATCCCACTAGCTTAAAGACATCGTCTCACATTTTAAATAGGGGTGAAGGGATGAGAGACACTCTCCAGAGCTAACCAGGACCTAGGGATAGTCTCCGAGGGAAAATAGAATAGAAATCAGTCTAAAGGTGCTGAAGTCTTTCCAGCCGGCTCCACTCTACGGCCTGGACCTGAAGTCTGAGCAGCATCAGCGGACTCCAAGCCCAAGAACCCCTCTGGAGCCCTGGGACAGGCAACCTCCAGGACTGGGCTTGGGGGCAGGAAACGTTTCAGAGAAAGGGCAGGTGCTAGAAGGAGCTCAGAGTCCTGAGATAAAAGTCAGCAACAGGCCTTCAAGGACACCGCGGGGGAGCAGGCGCAGCCCGAGGGAAACACGGATTGGCTGCGACGCTCCTGGCTCCGCCCCTCCGCTCCCGCCCCGCCCCGCCCCGTGGCCTTTTCTAGCACTGAGCATCTCGGCTCCGCGGCACTTCTTGGCGTGGTGCTTGCGGCGGGACGCTCGAGGCTCCGGCTCCAAGGTCAGTGAGACCATCCTTGCTCCAAAAGCTCGGGAGGTGCTGAAGCTAGTGTGTTGGGGGCTTTCGAGCGGAAGAGGGCCGGCGGGCGGGGCCGCGTCCAAAGTTAGTTCTCTGGGGCGCAGCCCCCCCACCCCGCCCCCTTGTAACTCTCTAAAGAAGCCCGGGGGGGGGGCGAGGGGGGCTCTCTTGGCATTAGCAACCATCTCTTTGCACACAGGGCAGCAGATGAACCTTCAGGGGTACAGCTCCGGAGGAGGGGTGGGAACCCATGTCAGCTGCTTGAAATGCCTGTTTTTTTCACAGAGAATCAGGAATTTTTCTTAGCGGAAAAAAATTGACAAGCCAATAATTTGAAACTTTAACCTTCAACTTTCTTGCCGTTGTCATTTGCAAAGACGAATCCACTCCTTTCTGGAACCTTTTACCTGCATCAAGTCACCTAGGTGCAAATCGGTGACTTGGGGGAAACTAACCAATAAAGGAACTTTTCGAGGCCCTCACTGTGAGCTAATTACTAGTATGTCTAAATGCTGGAGCCTATTCAAACTGGGTAGCTACTATTATTGTTAGAGGTTAAAATTTGAAATATGCTAGCACATTATTAACGAGTCAACTGTCATCCCCTCCCTCCCCCCCACATACACCTGAAGGTAAAAATGCCGCAGCATTACCCTAATTGCGTTTCATCTCAGCAACAGCCTGTCCTTTGCTTGCTCAGTTGACTGACCAGATTGGGGTTACTGTCAACCCTGTTCTTGTCCCTTGAGTGGGTGACATTTCAGCCTTCGAATGTTCTGGTATGTGTGGAGAGAAACATTTGTCAAAACAAGCCAGTCTCATTCTGCTCTCAACAGTACTGCCTTCTCTCTCCCTGGCTCTTGGACACGTGTGCTCCACCCCCCACCCCACAGGGTCAGCTGGAATCACGTGAGGTGGCAGTTAATGCCCACTTGACAAGGCCACACTGGCTCACCGGTGTACTGTTTCCAGAGGGCTGCTGCTCCTGTCCATAGCTCTCACACTCGTGTTTCTGAAGTAGTGTCCTTGGTCTCTTCTCCTGTGGAGGACACAACCATCACCACAACTTGGCAAGCAGGCTTCCTGACTAAGCAGGTTCTTGAGGACACTTGAGTATCATTAGGCTATTTGAGTGTCCCACTTCTTCTGCTTGATAGATGCATTTTCCCAAAGACCCCAACTTTAAAATTATATATATATAGTGGTTTATTTTTACATTACTTTGTGACTTTTTCCATCTTTTTAATCCCTGTGGGCTTCCCATCACCAAATCACCCATGTGCCATCACCATAGTCCAGTGCATTTTCCTCCCCCCACAGTTTTTGATCCCATTCCCCACTCCACCCCTGTAAAATGTCTCTGATATATAGCTGTTCATTATTATTATTATTGTTTTCTTACCTGTTCTGTTATAATCCTGCTATGAGTGAAACTGTCTGGTATTTTTCCTTTTCTTTCTGGCTTATTTCACTAAGCATGATCTTTTCCAGCTCCATCCATGTTGCGGCAAAAGGCATGAGTTTATCTTTTTGATTGCTGAGTAATATTTCATTGTATATTTGTACCACATCTTTTTTTTATTCAGCCATCCACTTTGGGGCATTTGGGTTGTTTTCATGTCTTTCCAATTGTAAATAGAGCAGCAATAAACATTGGGGTGCAGGTAAAAGACCCCAACTTTTAAAGTTCACCCTTCTGTACATTAAACACTGTTTCAGCAAAGCATGCAAGCACCACATGTGCTGATAGCTTTATACTCATATCACATCCATAGAGAATGGGCTATAGGGATAGGCCTGGCCAGTTTTCCTAAAGGGATGGCTGAGAAGGGCTCAGGAAATAGTAGGTTGAAGGGTGAGATAAGGAATGGGGAGTTCTGGAATTGAGAGGTTAGAGGGAGTTAGTTCTGAGACAGACTTTGCTTTTGGCTCAGAGGCTCTTGGTCTCCATCTGTGTCACAACCCCCAAGAAAGATCCCTTTGTCTTCCCAGAGGAAAACACATGGAAACTTGTGTCAGCGTTCTAGCAATTCTTGATCCAGGGAGTCAGTTCTGAATGTGATTGTTGGCGGTCACACTCATCCCTATCTGGGAAGCCACAGAGAATTCTTCCCTTGGTCAGGAAGGAGCATCCACCCCTTTACAGCATTTCAAAGGATTGGATGAATTTTCTTGACAATAATTTCCCCCAGGAAATGAGTCTGGTAATGGTTCAATGTCTTCATCACCAGGAGCCTTGGGAAGGCCTCTGTTTTACAGGGAAAGACTGTAAATATCCCCTGCCTATGAGTTTCTACTTGCTGACTAGAACAGAGATGCCCAAGGGTGCTTATAAGGGTGTCTGTATATCCAGCCAAGTGAAGTAACCGGAACCTTTTGCTCTCTTAGAACTGGGAGAGAACAGCCATTCTCCACTGGCCTAGGAGATTGGCATCATGGGAATTTGTTCAGTGTTCTGTGGAGCTGGTCCAACCCCAAGGACGTCCTCTGTTTTGGGGTGACTCTCTGGATGGAAAGCTGACACATGGTGCTCCTCCTGGCCTGCAGCTGTGCTCCCGGTCCAAAGAGCTCAGACACATGGACGCTGTGTACAGCTGGGACTAGAAATAACTCTGAGTCAGCAGAAAGGCACTCATGGTATCTCCATCCAGAATGTTCAGGACAACCGGGAGGCTCAGAATTGAGACAGTTACAGAATCTAAGGCCTTCACATCCCAGGATGTCACAGAACCAGATAAAGTCCTTAGACTAAGAGCCAGGCCCCCAGTATATCTGGCTGAGACAGAGAAATCCATATAGCTCTTGAACACTCTGGCCAAAGGGCGTAATGTAGATATTGCTTTTTAATGGCGAGGGCTCATATAGGAATAACCACATTCACTAGTCGTTGGCTTTGATTTGGATATGATACCTCATATAGGAATTTCTCTGGTTTGGAGCCCAGAAATTCTGCCAGATTTTAAACCCGACGCTGTAAACGGTGCTTTTCATATCAGGAGGTATTCCAGGGAGGGAAACTGAAGCAGATAATATCTGTGGGTTGAGGAATGATTTCCCACCCCTGCACTCCATACTTCTTTAATAGGGAAGAGCCAGGTATGAAGAAGAGAGTATATAAGCTCATGAGCATTTCCTCAGGGAAAGGTGACCTGGCCCAGCATCCCCAGCATGAGTGGCAGCCCCACGGGGCACCTGTGTCAGAGTGAAGTGGATGGAAGTACCCCTGGCATGCAGGTCACTTCAGAAGAAGCCTGAGGATAAGGAGAGAGAAAGGCTTATATATGCTGGGACTCTGAGGAAGCCTCTGAGGTGACAGTGCTGTGCCTAGGAGTAGTAAACCCCTTTCTGTGGGCTTAGGGTTCTAACAGGGTAGAGGGCTCTGTGGGAAACACCACAATGGCTTGTTCTTTAGGTCAACAGGGCTACTTGTGGGGGACTGCATCTGCAACATGCCTAGATCCAGAGCCAAAGACTGGGTTCAGATCCTAGCATTTCAATGGGCTGACCCCAGGCCTGGAACAAGAGTCTGAGAATATCTCGATTCTCAGTTACCCCATCCACAAAATAATGTCCACTTGGCAGGAATGTTGCATGCACCTTGCATGGCTTGGTAGAAGTTCAGTGTTCATTTTTTTAAAAGCTAGTAAATTTTCATCTAGTATGCATGATGGGAAAGGGCATTCCAGGTGGAAAGGGCCTGTGCAGAAGGTCAGAGGTGGATGAACCTGTCTAGTGAAGCCCATAGATGAAGGGTTGTCTTTGGAGATGCTGATAAGAGGGACCCAGGAGAAGTACAGGTGTCCAGTGTCCAGTGGACTGGTTAGGTTCATTTTGTAAATTCTGATCTTTGGTTTCAGTGGATCTGAAAGTGCATGACTTCTGAAATAAAGTCTTGTTCACAGAGAAATTACAAAATAAAAGCATTCAGTAAAACGCTCCAAAACCTAAAAATATAAGCAAAAACCAGCAAACATTCAAAGGAGAGCATACCCATGCTGGCCAGGTAGTCAGTGGCTTTGATAACTATTCCACAGGGTCTTTTGGAAAAGACACATTTATTCATTGCCTACTGCAGTCTGTCACTTTATCCTCACAACAACCCAGGGAGAGGTCGCATGAGCCCATTATGCAGAGGGGATTGTTGAGGCCCAAGTAGGCAGTACCTGGGTTGCCAGGTCCAGCTGGCTTTAGGGACACCTGGGAAATTTTCTCATACTACACAAGTGGCTCTCCCATTCTTGTAGAAACTACAAGATGGAGTCTAGAAATCTATATCTTATAACATACAGTTGATTTATTTTTAGGTTTTAATATTTTTTATTATATAGGTAACATATGGTGATCTTCACAGGTGAAGTAACACAGAGTTCCATTAAGAAAAAATTAATAATCTATTTCTAAGCCCCCTTCTGTGAAGTAACCCTTTTAGCAGTTCGATGAATAATCTTCAATACTTTTCTCTGTGTTCATCCAAATATATGCAAATACACACATACATACATCAACGTTACAAAATTAGTGCCATTTGTACTCATTACTATGTTTTTAATCTAAGAATAGCCCATAGATGTTCATCCAAGTAAATGGGTTTAACAGTTTAAGATCTATTTAACAATTAAATAGCTGCAGAATATTCTGTCATCTAAATGCACCATACTTTATACCACCCTTTTCCCGCTGATGAATGAGTTACTTCCAGTTATTTTGCCACTACTTTGCTTCCTTAATCATCTGATGTCTCCTTTACACTGGTAGTTTCATTTCTCTAGGATGAATTTCCAAAGTGTGGTGCTGGACCAGTGAGGTGCACATTTCTAATGTTAGTAATGCTTCCTGGTTCACTTTCCAAAATGGTTATGGTAGCTCACAGCACAGTCCTGTGACTCTGCTTACAGCCAGGTGGGAGGCCAGCAGGCTGCCCTGGCACAGTGTGGGGGGGATGTAGAGCTCTGTGGGCACAGAGTTGCACCTCTTCTTACCTC